CCAGGGCACGTTCCAGGGTGCGCAGGGCATGAAGCCCGCGGCGCTGGAGACGCGGCCACCCCCGCGCTCACCCGGGCTCCGCTGGGCGCTGCTGCCGCTGCTGCTATTGCTACGCCTGGGCCAGGTAAGCCTTCGGGTGGGCCTGGGCGTGTAGTGGGAGGACGCGGGCCGGACTGGCATCTCCTGCACCTGCCTATGTGTCACCCGCTCGAGGATTAACCGGTAGGGTGTTGTGGATCGCGGTGCTGGGAGTCCTCCTCCTGGAGGGGGCTGGTGGGGTTCTTGGCCGGCCTCCCGCTCCCGCCACCGAGCCCCTTCCCCTGCTGCCGGGTGCCAGGGGGAGGGCGGGATCCTGGGCCCCCCGGGTGTCCCCGCGGTGCCCGGTGGACTCTCTGTGGAAGCCTCTGCGTGGGCTGCAGGCGGCAGTGGCCCGGCCTTTGCTAGAGCTGGTCACATCTGGCCAGCGCGGGGCCCAGCTCGCGCGCCCGAGGCGGCCGGAGGGGGCGTGTTTGCGGAGGGCTGTGGACGCGGAGCAGGGCCGGCCTGGCCGAACCGAGGCCGACCTCCGACCTGCCTTGGAGGGGCCAGAGGGCTTGGGCGGAAGGGCAGTGGCGGTGGCCCGGTGCTCGGGGACAGGGCCTGGCGCAGGGCAGCCTGGCGGTGGGCGAAGCGCGGGACCTCAGGGTGGAGGGCGCTGTTTGTGGTGCAAGTTCCTAGCCCTGCCAGGGTGGCCGCTCAAAGGCGTTTCTTGACGCTGCCGGCCTTGTTCTCATCATCACGCCGGAGATGGTACTGGCTTTTCTAGTTGTGTAACTTGCTTTGTGGGGGCTAGCTAACCCCCTACACTCTGAACTATTTTTTTTTTCTCGTTTCACTCTTTCGATAATGTTGCGCCTGGAATATGGGATCTCTTCTTTCTGTGGTAATTCCATGGCGGGGTGGGGGGGGGGGGTAGTGGTGCGGGGATGTGATGCAGGGTAGTTGGGGGATATTCCCATTTAGCAGATAGGGAACTGAGGGAGAGAAGTGAAAGAGTGGAATCACCCAGCGGGTGCTTCGGGAGCTGAGCAAGCGAGTTCTGCCTCACAGCCTTCTGGCTGTGGTCTTGAACTCTGCAGTGGAAAGTGACCTGAAGGATGCTCTTGTCTTGCGTTTTGCTAATGAAAATCTCACTAACTTTATAGATACCAGCTGCAACCAGACAGTGAAACACAAATTAAGTATTGACTGGGGATGGAACCAGGCTTCAAGGGAAAACTTTGCATGAACACATGCAGGATTGTCTGAGAGGAAGCATACGCAGCAGAACAGGCAGGCAGAAGAACGGAGCCTGACTCTGGGGGCTGCCCTCACTCTCAGCAAGTCACTAATAGTTTCTAGCAGGATTTGCACAGGTCCCAAGGAGGTCTGGAAGGTGGCGTGACCCCTAGCAAATAATTCTTTCCTGGAGTGGGTGTGAGATGAGTGCCAGTGTCTAATGAAGCATCAAAGTTGAATTTGCTCCCCTTTCCCCTTCCTTTCATCTTCAGTGAAAAGCCTCTGTAGAATGGAAATGGGGAGGGGGTCACGCCATTGCTTGGTAGAATTGTTTGTAGGGCTTCAATTGGATAGTGGCTGAAAGATTTTTGCAAACATCAGAAATTTACTTTTCAGATAATATTTTACCAGATGGAATTAGCATTAGGAACAGTGTGTATGGGCTGTCTTCATCCTGTCCCTGTAAGAAGTTCATGTGCAACAGCCTTTGAGGTTAAAGAAAAAGAACTGATTTATACTTGAAGTGCTCCCCAGCCCTCCTTTCCCAGGAATTCAGGATGTAGAACAGGGTGACTTGAGCCTCATTGAGATTTGTTTGCCCCTGCCTCTTAGGGATCCCTGTCCTGATATTCTCTTATACTAAAGTTGATGCTATAGAAACATTTGATCTACACTTCCCTTTAAATTTGGTATATATGTTACTTTTGTTTCAACTATAGAAATTACAAGCTGTGCTTTGAATTAGCAAAAAGTATCTTGGGGAAATTTATTTCTTGCTCAGTCCTTCCTTGTGTTTCATTAGCATGTTGCTACTCTCTCCTTGCCTTGTATTTGGTTATTTCCTTCCTCTGTAGTTTGTTCTGTAGAAACTCAAGAGTACTGTCTTCATATTCTCGCTTTTGGATTTATTGCAAAATAGGAAATGTAAAAGGTTTTATGAAGAAGTACTCCGAAAGCTCACACTCAGCAGTCTCATTTTGATAGGGAATTGGTACCCTCCTTCTCTTGTGGTGTTGGGGTTGTGCTTGTTTTTCAGTTCCAAGTCAATGCCCTTTAGAACTGACGCAAAGACAGTGTCCTGGGCTGGGACGATGGGTCCTTGAGCCAGAGCTCTTGCTGCACAAGTGTGAGGACTTGAGTTCAAATTCTTGGCACTCTGAAATGTGGCTTGTGGTCATGTGTGCCAGGGACCCTCATACTGTGGGAAGTGGACACAAGTAGATTCAGTGGGGCTTGCTGGCTACCACCCTGTCTGATGGAGTGATTGATAGGTCAGAAGGCTCAGTGTGAGTACAGTGTATGCATCCATACGTGTGTGTATTACTCTGATAGACATATTCACAGTTATCCTCAGTCCCCATTTCTTTTAAAAAGATAAGCTTTTTTGAGACACATCATTTTCAGTATACCTATTGAAAAATATATATATGTACCCAGCCCCTCTCTGGTAGAACTCATTATACCGACTAGGTTGTCCTTGAACTCATAGAAATCCACCTGCCTCTGCCTCTCTAGTTTTGAGATTAAAGTTGTGCATCACCATGCTTGGTGTTACCTCCAGGCTTTGAAAGCAGCTCAAACTCCTCCACAGGTTGAGTGACAACCTGTGCCTAGTATTTTTGGCTGTGTTTTCATTGTGGGTGCAGTGCTGTATTGCTGTGTATGCCCCAGACTGCTTACAGATTGAGTTTAAAAGTCCTTTAGACCAGGCTCTCAACCATCTCCAGCTCCAGGGGCTCTGTCTGACTTTCCCTTTTGATATCCACGGGCACCCACACATACTGGCAGACAGTCCGATAGTTAGACACACATACACATCAATAAAATAAAAATAATAAATCTTTTAAAAGTCAGTCAGATTTGAGATATTTTTGAAATCATTTGTGTAGGAAATAAGAGGGAATATATTTGAAGACCTCTCTAATAGTTGATTGTTTTTATTCTTATTAAAGTGGAGGAAAAAAAGAGAGAGTACAGAAAAGACCCAGCTTTTTTTTTTGGAGACTAATGAGGACAGTGCGTGGAAACGGGAGAACGGAGATGCCAGAAGGCTCAGTACTTAGTAGGTCCAGAAAAGCCATTTTTGAAACCGGCATTTCACTCCTCTCTCCAAAACAGGAAGAGCAGTCCAAGACTCTAGGGCGAGGACGTCCGTGGTGGTGCTATGTTAACCATCCCTTTCTGAGTGCATTTTTACACACAGTTTTGGTTTATGTATATGTTAGGCAATGTGGGAAAGTGAGCTCTCCTTTCCCTCTTGAGACATATAGTTCTGTTTCATAGAGCCCTGTTCGACAGCAGTCTACTTCAAAATAGTAGTACAGTATTAGTAGCAGCAGTAGTAATAATAATAATAATAATGGAAACAAAACAAAAACAACTGGTAGCCACTTGGTTGGTCTTCCAGGGTTCCCTTTTGCTTTGTCTTGTTTTCTTGCTTCCTGATGGATGATAAGTTTATATCTTTATGTATTGTGGCTAATCCACCAGCCTGGTTTCTTTCCTGCTTTAACCAGAGCACACACACTAAATATTTTGGCTCCTCTTAAAACTGTTTTTGAACTTCTCACAGGAGTGATTTTATTTTCCTCTTGCTTCAGAACAACAAAGGGAAACCCAAAGTCTGTTTTGTTTGCAGACAGTTTAAGGAAACTGAGCAAATTGGTTTATGGTTAGTCTGTGACTTTGGGCTCAATTCAAGTTCAGTCCCAGGACAAAGATGACCAGGAATAACCATACTTTCCTGAGCAGAGAGAATCCTGGCTCCAGAGTGAGCAATTTTGGTCAGCAAAGAGGTTATTTAGCTCCTAAAAGTAATGCTTGAGGCTGAGGCCGAGTTTCTGGATGGCTCTAACCTGGCTTTTGCCAATGCATCATAAGTAATTGCTTCTTAGCTCATTCACTTCTTGGCCAGGGGAATTATTTTGAGTGCCGGATAAGATGCAATTTTCTGTGTATTTCCCTTCTAACATCATGCCCCCGATAATATTATAATTAATAGTTAGCATTAGGTGTGGCAGGTGCCGCGTTTGGGCATTTTTAATGCGTTATCTCATTTGACATTTCAGAAGTTCTGGTGGTGGCTGTTGCTCGTGTTCTTATTTTATTGTGAGAAAGCTGAAGCTCCCAGCTTCCAGAGTCCTAAGTAGAGCCAGGTCTGCATTGTCCCAGTTTACTGTCCTGTGCTGTGGAAAGCATGTGCCTTCAAGGTTTCCAGTATGGAACTGAGCACCTATGCCAGACTCCTGAGGCAAGAGACAGGCTTGTGGGCCCTCAGTCTTGATAGGGCTGAGAGTTATTTTGTATTCTTTGTGTTCCAAATCATGTCGAATTAACACCTTCAGGTCCTCTTGACTACTTGGGTTTCTTTGGAGTCTGAGTATGTATGCAAAGGCACCCCTGCCTTGGTGTGAACAAACTGAAATGGGTGAGCCTGGGTATGGGCTTCACTCTGCCACTCCGGAACTCTAGGCAAGCCAGTCACCAGTACAACTCTTCATTTCCTTATCTGGGAAGTGGAACTAATACTTCCTGCCTAGCTGGGTGGTGGAGGAGTCAAGTAAGATAGAAGGAAAGACTGTCAAGTAAAACCTAAAGCTGACCATTTGCCGGCAGTGGCTGCTGCTGTTGTATGGGGGTGGTGGTGGTGCAGTATGGGAAGGGAAGAAAGGGGGCTTCAAGTCATTAGTTTCTAGAACAAATATTTGTCAAATGTTTCTGAAGAAGTTTTTTGTTTTTAATATGTTAGCAATTATTTTAGTTAGTGAAACAGTATTTGTAACTGTATCAAGCCCATGTTTCTAGTCAGACTAGGCTGCATATGGAGCTTAAATATAACAGTGAACCTGAGGAAGCAGTCTGAATAAA